CTCACACTGCCCTCACAGGCTAGTTCTAAAAGTTCCGTAATATCTATGAGTCCGCAGCTTGTCCCGCCTCAAGCTTCTTCGATGTATTTGGATCTGTTGCGCGAATTTGCCAGCATAATGAAGCCCGGATATCATCCTGGTGATATTAAACATGAGATCGTTCATAGGATAACGACAGCAGGCAGTCCAGTATTTCATAGTTCTCGGCGACTAGCGCCAGATAAACTTTCCGTAGCGAAGACCGAGTTCGATCATATGTTACAATTGGACATAATACGTCCATCCAGCAGTATGTGGGCATCGCCCCTACATATGGTTCCGAAGAAAAAACCCGGAGACTGGAGACCATGTGGGGATTATAGGGGACTGAACACCATCACCGTGCCAGACAGATATCCCATTCCGCATCTCCAGGATTTCTCATCCTCGCTGTACGGAAAGAAAGTGTTCAGCAAGGTAGATTTAGTACGGGCATACCATCAAATTCCCGTTCATCCTCAAGATGTACCTAAGACTGCCGTCACTACTCCCTTTGGCTTAGTTGAGTTCTTGCGAATGCCATTTGGTCTTCGTAATGCAGCGTTTTATGGGTCAGGTCATTCGCGAGCTGGACTTCGTTTTCGTCTACATCGACGATGTCTTAGTTGTAAGTCGAAATCATGACGAACATTTGCGTCATCTGCGACAGCTTTTCGAACGATTTGCGCATTATGGGTAGTTATCAACGCCGCCAAGAGTCAGTTAGGAGTTGATACGGTAAACTTTGTTGGTCACCGTGTTTCCTCCGCTGGAATTGCACGCCTACCGGACAGAGTGACAGCCAGCACTGAGTATCCCATACCTGATTCCATCAAAAAGTTACACCGGTTCGTTGGCATGGTTAACTTCTACTGAAGATTCATTCCGCACTGTTCAGAGTTAGCCCAGCCACTTACCGAACTACTCAAATTAGATGCTAAAACATTCAGCTTTACGGAATCAGCTAAACACACATTTAGCGAGCTAAAATACTAGCTAGCAACTGCCACTCTTCTTGTGCATCTGGATCCTAAGGCCCCGTTACAGTTAACGGTGGATGCCTCAGATACAGCTGTAGGTGGTGTGCTTCAACAAAGACAGAGAGGTGAATTGTATCCAGTTGCCTTTTTCTCTAAGGAATTGCAGCCCGCCGAACGACGTTATAGCACGTTCAGCAGAGAACTCCTAGCTATTTACCTCAATGCGCGTCATTTTCGACATTATTTGGAAGGACGTACGTTCACGATATTCACCGATCATAAGCCGTTAACGTATGTACTGCGTTCTGCTTCTGATCGTCTTTCCCCACGAGAAACTAGACAATTAGATTACATTTCCCAATTTACCTCTGACATATGGTATTTGTCCGGCGCGAATAACGCCGTAGTAGATGCCTTATCAATGGCGGAAATCAACGCTCTATTCGAACATTCCTCCATTAACTTCCAAGAACTAGCCACAGCGCAGCATCAGGATAATCAGTTTCTTCAACAACAGCAAGAAACCAATCTTCAAGTGAAACCCATTTCGCTGCCTGGTAGTTCGGATGTTCTGATGTGCGATCTTTCGACAGGAAAACCACGACCTGTCGTACCACCAAACTATCGACGAATCATCTTCGATTCAATCCACGGTCTATCACATCCAGGCATCCGTGCAACTCGCAAGCTTATTTCTGATCGCTTTGTTTGGCCAGCACTAAACAAAGACGTGCAGATCATGGTGAGAAATTGCCTCCCATGTCAACGTTCAAAAGTGCAACGGCATACTCAGGCACCACTTGGCAACTTCACCGTTCCCGATGCCCGTTTCAGTCATGTGCACATAGACACCGTTGGTCCACTGCCGCTGTCGAGTGGATACAAGTACCTACTGACTTGTATCGATCGCTTCACTCGTTGGCCCGTGGCAGTACCCATCGCAGACATTTCTGCAGAGACGGTAGCACATAACTTTGTGGCTCATTGGATCGCGCATTACGGTGTGCCATCCACCATAACAACTGCTCGCGGTGCGCAATTTGAGTCGACGCTTTTTTCGAGAGTTAACCAATACTCTCGGAACCAAGCGTATAAGAACAACTGCGTACCAACCATCATCGAACGTTTCCACCGTCATCTCAAAACAGCTTTGATGGCATGTTCCGACACTACCCGTTGGACAGAAACCTTACCGCTGGTTTTATTAGGTCTTCGAACGACACCTAAAGCTGATTTAGGTTGCTCCACCGCGGAGCTGATATATGGTACCACGCTAAAGCTCCCGGCTGATCTCGTTCAACCAACCGACATAGACGCTATAGATCCCTCAAACTTTGTCCATCGGCTACGTACATCTACGCGTGAACTGCACTTTATCCCCACACGCGCACACACCAACAAGTGTTACATACCGAAAGATCTCGGAACTTGTTCACACGTGTGGGTACGAAATGATGCAGTCCGCAAGCCATTACAACCACCGTACGAAGGATCATTCAAAGTGATCGCTAGAACCGAAAAACACCATATGATCACCAGAAATGGTAAAGTCGATGCGGTTTCCGTTGATCGTCTTAAACCAGCGTACATCGAAAAACCTTGTAAACAACAATCTACTGATTTTCGCACGACACCGTGTACGCAGCAGACACCACAGCTCGTTGAAGATGATCCGCAGCTTGCAACATCTAAAGCTAAGCCACAAGGAGACATTAATACACGGCAGACGCGGTCAGGAAGGCGAGTCCATTTTCCGGACCGCTTAGTGTATCACACATCTTGACAATATCATCTTGTTATGCTGATCACTTGCGAGTACCGCTTGCTGCCAGTCTCCTCCGGTTTGTTGTTCTCCAGATTCTCGCACGAGGAAGAAGCGGATCATCCAGTCTAGACAAATCCAACATCCGTGCATTTACCATCATGCAATGCTCCCAAAATCTTTCATTGTACCCTACACACAGAATATCAGCCTGCATGACTCCCATACCTCAGCCTCGGGTATTTCATGCGACAATGTACCACGTAGAGGTCAATTTTACCTGCTATTCACAACGGATTTTTACTCCTGGTCGCTTGAACATCGTGCGACTAGCGCACTGGTGGGGATGTATATAGTGTACTTTTACATTTTAATACACAACCTTCCGGTCAACTGATAACATTATCAGCTGTATCGACTATTCTTTCAAACATCTCATACACATCATCATCGACCAACATTCCTTTTGAATCGCCGGCTGACTCTAGACCACCTCGTGTACAACATCTGGGAGCCTCGAAAATACAATCATGGGAATACACGTTCTCAATCCCTTTTGGCATCCAAGAATGACGGGTTATTAATCCAGGAACTCCGCAACCTAAAAAGCGTTACCACAATACGTGTTGACCAAAATACGATAAGTGGATACGATAGCTTCACTGATACTATGTCTCCTGCTGCCCGTTTCCCGTATCAACCGGAATTACCTACGATGCTTACCAAGGGCACCTGACATTTCCATCTCTGAAGCAAGATGAGATCATCAGGACTCGCGGTCTCTCTTCAGGCTAGCATGGAGTTTTGCCCGGAGCTCTTTTTGCGTTTCATTGTGTTCGCTTCCAGCCGGAATCTGCCGGCGAGCATCGAAAAGTTCCAGAGACTGTGAAGAGACCCACATTAGGATTTTCCTGCTGCTAGTAAGGTGTGGTGAATATGAGACCAATGAGCTTCAATTGATTCCAGTGAACGCTTACTCAACTCGCATGACAGCGTATTTTGATAGGCATTCAGAACAGCTGGTTTCGCCAGTTGGCTGGTGTCAATGCGCTCACGTCGTCGTGGGCGTCCGCCAATGCGCATCCGCAGGTCAGCACATACAAGTGCATGGTCGGTGTCCACACCTGTGCTCCAAATCGAGCGACAGTTCTGGACGCAGCCTCTCCACCGGTAACTTATTGCAATGTGATCGATTTGCGTCCTTGATTGGTTCGAGACTGGTGGGCGCCAAGTCACTCTCCGGTGGGTGCTGTGTCGGAAATTAGTGCTCGCAAGAAATAAGTGAGCATCCTCACACACAAATGTAGTAACCGCTCACCGTTATCATCACGGGAGCCTACACCATGTTGGCCGCCAAGATGCAGTTCATCAGTGCATAATTTTCCAACTTGAGCGTTCAGATCCCCTACCAGCACTACAGTGTCCGAGTTTCTTCTGTGGCGAAGGAGTTCGGTCAGTTGGCGATAGAAGTCGTCTTTTACCGAGTCATCGCTACAGTTTGTGAGTGTATAGGCAGCGGTAACGAATAGACACCTGTTAGTCCCGTGCGGATTCGAAGCTTTGAACGAGCCAGCCAATCGGACCGCACACATCCGTCTACTGATTGGAATCCAATCAACCAGAGTAGTTTCAGCCCTGGAACTCAGAGCAATACCAACAACGGCTTGGCCCGTACTCGAAGCTGCATCATCACCGGATAGGCGCAATGAGAAAGTGCTGCTGGTGTCACCGGAAGGGGATCGCAGAGTGAGCACAGAGCTCGAGTCTTGCAGGCGGGTCTCCGATAAGCAGCAGATATCGATGGAGAGGGTCTCTAATGTTCGGGAAAGTGCTGCCTGTTGACCGATCTGAAGCAATGTGCGAACATTGGGGCATGCCAAACTGAAGGAGGATCGAGGGCTCCAACTGGAAGCCGATGAACTGGGCTTGGCTGCTTGGTTGGCAATGGGCTTGTTGACGGGGCAGGAATGACGCTCCGCGTTCACATGTGAGTTGAAACTAAAAGAGAAGCGACTAATGAAGCAACGTGGGGAGTACTTAAGTATTACACTAGGGCAAATCTCCCTCTATCCATTGTTTCTCATTAGTATTATCGGTACAGAACACTAATGCCACTCATGATAGTGAGGCTAACGGAATTTCAGATGCCAAAAACTGCACCTTCGCGTTACTGATACAGGAATACATGACTCGCTTGAAGAAAAGCCAATTCTTAACCGAAGCATTTAAACACAACTTACGAATGAATCCAGCAATTGGTGTATAGTTCCATGGCCCAAGACAAACCGGAAGTGGTGGACGAATGTAGGGAGCGAGCCAAAAGGCGTTCTAGCCGATTCATAACAGTTGCAATCACAGTAGCTGGGGATACCACTTTTGCAGGTGCCGAGGGACATGCTAGATTCAAGACTTGCTGAAGACATATGGTGGGAAACGGGTTGGAGACGTTTAAACCGACACCTATGTTGGGACAACGGAAGGTAGAGAAAAGTAGCTTGAAGATACGTGTCGAAATGCAAACAGCTCATAGGAGGTCATCGCGATGAGAATGGATTTTAACGCGTTGCGATACTTTGCACACCTTAACAATTAATGGAGTCGTGCTAGGAAATGCTGCATGCACCTTCGAAACTACGCACGCCAGATAGGCCAAGAGTTAGTGGCCAGGAAAACTGTCGCTGGGGTCATCAGGTTAGGAGTTGAAATAAGGGTGGCTCCTTATCCCGTGTAGTCAAATGTAAAACCCGTACCACCTTACGGTGAGGTTAGTTAACCAATTAGCAGAGACCTGAAGGGTAGAGTACGCAATGAAGGTGTTCGTTTAACGGTAGTGAAACCTAATTAATCAGATGGAGACACCGTATAGGCAGTGAGCGTGCTCGCCGTCTTGCTTGTGGTGCAGGAAGGGGAACCGAACCGCTCAACGCCATTATATCACGCACCATGCTCCGATGGCTGGGCCACGTGTTGTGCATGACAGCACACTGACCCCAGCGTTAGGTGTTGTTTGCACAACCGGAATGTGGATGGAGGAAGAGAAGTGGAGGCCAGCCAATGGCTTAGTCAAGAGGAAGGAAGGCTCTCACCTCGAACTCTGCATGGGTTAAAGTCTCTCACCTCCAGAGTTAGGGTCCGAAAGATGATGAATACGTTTAGCTGGATAAGGTTGTTGATATGACGAAGAATCGATCGCAACAGACTTTGCGCTGTGAGTTTCTTTAGCCCTCCCTTTTCACGAAGCCACGAGCCCATCACCGAAACACCATATAAAAAGTCTAGCAAGAATTCTAGTTTAAATTTCTATTGTTTTCGTCTATTTATTTTTTACTATCACCCAATTGAATTGCATCACGGCACAATAACTGAGATGATTATCGCTTTTATCTAACGCACAGAATGATGATGATAATGTCCACATGCAAACTGTAACGGAAGGTGACATGTGACAAAGAAGTATACGAAGTAAACGAAGATTTTCGGATTATCCACTTTATAGCATAAATGACCAAGGTTAAAAGCGCTGTTATATGCTGTTGGATGTGAGATAACTATCTCCGAAAAAGGAACCGGACAAAACAGGTATATTTCGTCTGCGATAAAAGATGTGTGAACTGAATGCTAATTCAGTCATTAATAACCATGGTGGTGAGTATAGTGGAGAGAAGTCAGTTCAATGTAACAGTTATTAGCCTGACAAACTGCAGTAACAAGTTGACTGCATGGCACCGAAAATCGAAGCGGTGCGTGTCAACAGCTGTTATAAGTTGAGTGGTACAGCGAGATCGAGAGTGAGTTGTTTTTTGACTGAGTATAAGTGGACGGACGAGGCCAACATAGAGTGGTTTACCGTTAATGAAACGCTGATAGTCTAGACCACTCAGTCATACCATAAGTGCATCCGAAACAAAGCGCATGGCCACGGATGATACAACACTAACCGCCCATGTTCGAAACCATAAACAAGTAGAGACCGGTCTACGAGACACCATGCCTTCTCAGTTTTGTACGTTGGGATGCAAGCTGAGTTCATTAAAATACAACGAAGGGTCAGTAGCCAGTAAGATAGGAAAATACCCGTGTTTAATGGCTTGAAAGCTGACCTCGAGAGTTTGGAATGAAACAACAAGATCAGAAGAGACGCTAAGGAGAAAACCGATTCACGAAGATGGCAGAAGGTCTATGAAGAAACTACAGCTACATGAGACAACATAAAACATGCGTTTGAATGAAGATAGTTGAAAAGCATACAAGCCATAGGCACTTACCAACGACAAAAGTGGCATGTTCCCCACTCATCGAGATGCACCGGGTGAGAACGCCTGCAAGCTTGCTTGCCCTGGACAACGTGTTGTCCAAAGTAGTGGGGGTAGTGTGCGAATGCTCAGTCACATACACGTCATTAGGCCACTTGATTAGAATCCGTGAACCAGGATGCTCGAATGCCTGAGTGCCATCGGGGGGGGGGGGGAAATGAAAGCGAAAGTGGAGGATCGGACGGCTGAGAAATGCGGAAGCAGAAGTCATCGTCACGATGCATTTGCAACAACTAAACACAAGGATATGCTTGCGGGCAGGTTACGTTGGATAAGTGCTGAAATCCTCCTGAACAACCTCTTCTCAGTTTGATCCACGTACTTGGTACCGCAAGCACAGTGAAAAAGGCAGATGCAAGAGGCGGCAAATTTAGAGTGCGGCCTGTCCAGGTCGGATTTGCAGAACAAGCTTTTAACTTGGTGGAGCATTACTAGCTCGGCCGCATGATTGCATTTCTTAGTGGATGTCGGAATCGCCTGCCATTTTGGTTCCCTTTTAATGGTAGCTTGATGAATACGTTGTTCTTAGGGATGGCGGCGATCAGCCAGACCGAAAGCATCATTAATTGCTCATAAAGTTCATGACCAAAGAAGACGCTTATTGTACTAACTTGGACTGAAGTGTGCTGAAATACGGTGCGGTGCCGAAAGGGGGAGATGGCCCATCAAGTGGAGTGAAGTTCATATGATCTACTTTGCGCGATACATGGAACGCAGCCAACAGCAACAGTACAGGTGGCGACGCCTCCGTGACAGTCTACTTGTGCGAAAGGCACACACAGCAGCCAAAAATATTCGGAGAAAAATGGAGTAATGCAGAGGGTTAGAAAATGTTTCAAAGGGATTTATGTGTTGATGTAACCGGCTGCCACTGGACACAATGTAAATCAAAACAGTGGGATGTTTCGATCATACTTTCTACTGTGCTAGGACCTTCGTGAACCACTCCTCTACTTCTACACCACTTCATTATGAATTGTACACAAATGAACATTGGATTGCGCCAAAATGATTACGCGGACTGAGCCAGTTAGAAAAGACCGATATCTCAAAAAGACTCGGTAGATAACCATGTTTTCCATACGGTTGTGAAGACGCTTATATGATATCACTGAAAAAACAAGCCATCCTGGTAGTGTGCTACAGGGCTGGCACAACCCTGTCAAACACAATGGAGTTCACCGGCGCCAGTGCACTATCGGACCCGAACAACACGGTCGCTATGCAGAGGCCTAAACTCAGTTCAGAGTGGAGCTCTCCCTACGGAAACTGCCGCCAAGAGCCCATTCATATGCACAGATCACAATGGAGTTGTCCTCAGTGAGAATATGGCCAATGTATCCCGTACAGATTCCAATGAATTCGCCCGTCTCACTATCGTATCTCTAGGACTCTCCTCAAGTCAACAGTCTGCCTCCTGAGCCGTGTTCATGCCAACGCGTTAGGCACCGAGCAAACTCAGCAAATGTGATGTGTCCAATGTCTCAACAGCCTCGAACCATCTCTGCCCGGAGATAGGACCACTACATGGCAACTCCTGTGTCAATAAATACGCCTCTCCTTAGATTTTATGCGATTACTACTGTTTTAGTGAACTATAAATATGGAGGTGTAGAAAGTACGATGTCTTGGATGAGTCAGTAAAAGCATTCTTGCTATTGGTCAGTCTTCTTTCGACGGGTCTCGGTATAATTGTGTGGTTTACGCGTTCCGTCTGCCTTATCAGTTACGAGTTCACGTCTGCCGGCAAAGTCTATTAGCCGTTCCAATACGAATCCTCTAGGCTACTCTGGGCGTGGGAACCAACAGGTGAAAAAGTTCGTCCGTTCCGACTAAGACAGTCGAAACCCAACCAGAACGTTTAAAACACAGTGCAACTTCAAAATCAGGGCAAAAAAATTTTTTTCGGAGTAAGTGCACTTGCATTTCAACCGCCACCGAGAAGTCGCTGCAACCGACGTCGTTGGAATAAGCCAATATGTGCAACGATTTAATGTTACATGAAGTAATCTAAAGGCGCTCATGACCGGTCAAAGCTAAATAGTGGAAACAGCGTGGAAACAACACATTCTAAAACAGTCCTGAAGAATGCAGCAGAGAAGTTGGGCTGAACGACTGAGTTTTTCTGTCAGACGAAGTGAATGTCCATGGGGTAATAAAACGAAACAATGTATAGCGCTCGAGAACTCGGTATTCAGACGAACGAAATATTGGCAGTTTCAGCCGCGCAACACCATCGCGGTAGAGGCCGAATATGAATGAGGAAGACTACGCAAGGCGGATCGCATCCATCTCACCGGTGGACGCATTGGCCCCTGCTTCATCTGAGTGATCGTTAGTGACGTGAGCTCACAGAAAAGCGTTGCGCGCTGTTCGCTTCTTTGACGATAATGTGTCAGCTGTACGCCGTAACGGCGATTCGCTGCCGTGTAACCACCACCAGTCGCACGAGAACTGAGTATACCGCGAGGGCGCCCACTCCTACGCGGATTCGAACCGGCGCCGTAAGATTACGAGACAAGCTTGTTACCACTAGGCTACGGGCCGTTTGACGATAGCATCTGAATCTGTCAGACTGGGGCGAAGGGCACCGAACGTTTATAAAACAAAGCAACAGATACGTTGAGAAAGCTGGCCATACCTGGAACGTGATTATCCATGTAAGGCTTTGTGGTGTTCGAGTCGTTCTTACCAATGTGGGCATTTCTCAGCAACTAGGGGAGTACCAGAGTTTGGCCTCATTTAGTCCCCAGTAGACTAAGGTGGATACATTGGTTGATTATAAACTCATGTAGTTTAGTGAAATCCTTGAAAAAAGTCCTAAATTCGTGGCATGATTTTCGTTTCGACGTCAGGCATGTATAAAGTGAACAATTTGTCCACCTCCGTCTGACACCAATGGTATTTTTTTATATAACATTAATTAGAGTAACTACCACAGCAATGATTATGACTTAACAGAAAGAAAGTGTATTTCATTCTCGGATATTCGTATCCGTTCTGATTGCACATAGCTTTTGGATCTGTTGCCTAAGCACTGCCCGCAAGCCAACACAGGCATTCCCAATGCATCGACCGGCGGTCACCGAGTTGCATACTGTATCAGATTCAGAGTGATCAGCGGGTATGCTTTGCACCGTGAGAGAAGACCAAAGGATCCGGTGCTCTAAGCCAATCGAAGTGAGTTTGCAACCTGTGAACTGCCACCATCTACGGTAGGCCGTTAAAGAGGGGAAATCGACCGAATCATTAAACCATGTGTTAGGATGAAGGGCGTGTCTCAGTGAACCGCATCAGCATGCAATCATAGCAACGCTCAGTCATATCGCGACCGATTTGGAATATGCGCTAAATGCTAAAAACGGATAGATACCACAGGCTCTAAATCCGTCATAGAGATACAAACAAATCTAAGGAAACGGTAAGAGAACTGTTGGGTATCATGAGTCCAAAGCAAACGGTTAGTAACGATTAGTCGTTCTGCGCCTTCCGGACGAGAAATTTGATCTGTTTCAGTTTAATGGCCAAAAAAGATTAACATTGCGCGATGTCCTAATGGCGTGCGAAAGGAGGAGCTGAAGCCTTCTGCATGGAACGTAGTTTGACGTTCATGCACGAAGGCTAAGCACACCGAACGCAGTCGGATGATCAGCCAGAGAGATGAACCTATTTTCGCTTTTGGATTTTGTGTGCCTCCGCAAATTATTTTATCCTTTACCTAAACGAACTTTTTTAAGTTCAGCAATCTTGTCTTACTCTGTTGATTGTTTGAGTTAGCTTCGTGAAGTCGAATACCATTAAAAGAATCAGAAACACATTCAAAGGAATTGTCAAGAAAGAATTATGAAGCATATGTACCGCGCTGGCTGGCAAATTGGATTCAGACGCTACCCAAGCTAACAGGGCACAAATTCGGCTGATCATGTTCAGTGATGTACGATCGCTCCTCAGAAAAACTTATACAACGAAGAAATTTCACGAATACATGCATAGTGATGTTACAAGAATGTTGGTTCCATTCCGACATTCAGGATGGAGTTAGTAAACTCGATGTCTTTCACCACGCTGCATCCGAACGCCCAAGAAAGCCCCTGCACCCCAGAAGTTTGATCGCATATATCAGAGAAAATTAATGAAAATCGGTTTCACAGCTGTCCGTTTACTCAACGGCCTCAGTAAATAAAAAATATGCTGGATTGTGAACCCAAGTTTCGTAGTGATTTACTGTGTCGTAGCTTGGAACCTTACGTAACGCAATCAGAGAATAAGAAGTTTGCAGACAGCATTGTATCATCGCGTGTAAGTTAAATAGAAGTGACAATTTTCAATATGATGGGTTTAACCAACTTTGTGGAATTCTCCACCAGACTGGATGCACAATCGGATATAGTTTTAGCTAGCACACAACTTGCTTTCTACACAAAAAGTGCCTGTTGATTTTCCAAGCCACTACATCCTGAGCAGTTAACAAAATAAGTACTGTGAAGCCAATCACGTTGCGCTGACACGAGGGCGAAACTGCTGATTAGAAAACTGTACAAAGCTCACATGGATGTTGATTTTCGCAAAGGAAGGTTTGACAATTCAATGAGAGTACTCCGAAAATTACATTAACCACTGTTTCGATCCGTGTCGTCCTAATGGGACCAACTATATACGGACTGACAGTTTTTCATCGCCACTACTCAAGTAAAGGGATATTGAAAAGGAGGCTTGTAAATAGAAGCTAACTGCCCGTGCGAAATATCTTACTGTGGCATCATCATCATCATCACCATTATACACGTTAGCTGGAGATGGGAAACACCTCAGTTACTCTGCCGCAATAGATAGAAGAAAAAAGGGGAAAAAATGCAACTGGTGCAAGCCAGCTGAGCTACCAATAACGGATGGGCATCGTTCCGATAAGCTACCAGCCGGCTGCTGTGCACCCAAAAAAAGATTATTATGCAAAATTATATAAGGCTAAATAATGAGATCGTGGTTGGAGGGGGAGGCTAAGAGGGATGGGGTGGGACAAAGAAACTCACAGCACGAACGCCACTGAGGTCGGCTCCTAGCCATATCAATAAGTGTATCCAACCAAAAGTGTTTATCGTCTTTCGGATCCCAACCAGGCAGCCGCGACGCTCAAACTGAGGCCAGCTCAGAAGTGAGGACCGTCATTCCTCTCGACCAAGTCCTCTTCTTCCATCCACACCACCTGGCCGC